AGATTTATAATTAATTTTTTTATAAAAATGCTTATGAATATTTAAGCAAATTTTTATTTTTTTTCTAAAATACTTATAGGCAGTTTAAGTACTTAACTACTCAATAAGTTTTTGCATTTTTGTGTTCTTGTGGAAGTTTTTTTCTTCAAAAACTTCTCTAGTAAAAAGTTCACTTCTTAGAGAAGGACGCTTTCCAAGAGTTGTTTTCTCAGCCTCACACATTTTCATACACAAATCACAAATAAAGTTAAAAATTAAAAATCATGTAACATAAACATTTTAAATCCAAGATTATCAAAATATTGATTAAACCCAGATCAACCCGGGGTCAACCTGGGTCAAGTAAAGGTATGATCCTAACCTAACTGGTCAGGTTGAATATAGGACTCATGTCAAATAATGATAAACTCAATTCAGATTTTAAACACGAATCAGGTTAAATGACCCAGATTTAACCTGACCCTTTCAGAATACTACTGTCAACTCTTGTTATAACAAACTCTATGTCCTAGACCTCAAATTCGCTATAAGACTATAGTGAAGATTTTAAAAGATTTAATTGGCCAATTCACTATAACAAGAGTATTTTTATTATATTTATTTAAAAAATTCATTATATCAAGAATTGACTATACATGCAGAAAAGTTTGAGAACAAATGCTATACTATGGTTATAAATAAATTATAATTAATAACTGTAGTTACTGCGATCTATACAAAAATAAATTATAAGAATCAAGAGCTAATCTGTGATATATGATAAGGACTATCCTATATATTGTACTAATACAAATATCCTATTATTAATTTCATAATCTTTTTCATTTGTGTCTTCGTGATTCTCAAAATCCTAGAACAAAAATATCTAGTCAAGTCGCTTTATTGAAATGAATTGTCACAACTGGAATACTTCCATCTTAATTGCATAATATTTCATGCAAATTTTTTTCACTACTTTTTAATATTGCGATACGATGCCCTATTTTTGTATTTGCAAGACTTCAGAAAAATTAAAGCATTCAGTAAGAATATCATACTACGCATTTCAAGTGATCAGTTTCACATGATGGAGTTTCTATATTATGATCATAAATTTGAATTTATTGCTTGAAGTGAAGCAAGTAAGATAATATTCTGTTTTATTTTTATACCATTCGTCATGTAATTTATAATTCCCATGTTTTTCATTGCAAATAAAACATAGTGAATTTCATGGCTGAGGTGATGCAAAATTATAATTATCAATCCCTTTGAAACTATTTCAAAATTTCAAGTATGTGAAATGCTTTAACACAGATTTGATAATTAACTCTGAATTAGATTTGACTTTAAAGGTGATAGGCTTGAAATCAGAGGTTTGAGGTTTTTCTGGTATACTTATCACAACTTCTGATAATTGTTATAATTTATACCCAGTTTCTTTTTTATATTTTTTGTATAAGTTAGACTGAATCCTATCTGTTAAAATACTTGGTAACCCAGTTAATTTGGCATGCTAATCCAGATACTCAAGGATTAACACTTTATCAGACTTGGTTATGTTTCCTTTTTTCTATGATCACAGATCAATTTAAATTAAGTAATAGTTAATATTTGTAAAAAATATCACATAATAAAACGTCAGTTAGCAAATATAGTCGCAAAGTGATCTAACTATACAACTATTTCAATTTCACGCTATTCACATTTAATAAAATAAGATCCAGCTTTATATGTACCTTTTATACTTTCCTCATCATCATGCATTAACTTGCATAATAGCATGATGTCTTATTAGTAACTCCATAATAATCGAAATTTTCACTACTAAATTCTCTATATAAATTAGGATATTGATCCAATGCTTTGCTACGAAAATAGGATTGAATTATAAGTTGGTTTAGATTGGGCTCATATATTAGTCTTATTGGTTTTTGAAGTCTGAAATGTAGGTGAAGTGTTTACCCTAGCATCTGGTAATTTTTTTAGAACAGACCCTTGTCTTTTCTCAAGTGTAACTTTAAGTCTCACTTTTTCTATATTTTTGCTTCCAGAATATGAGTTAGGCTTTTTTAGCTCCACATAAGATCCACTGAAATAATCCAGAATAATTTGAATTTGAGACGTAATAACTTTGAAATAGAATCTACGCTGTAAGACTTGATATTCTTAATTTTATCTACTCCTATCTTTTCAAATAGTTTGTAGATTTTTATGGCCCTTGGGTTCTTTTACGTAATGTTTCCAATGTTATTCCAGAAAGATGCTTTATTATATCCTGAAATAATTGTTTTCTTGCCGTCTAATCTGAAACATTATCTCTGGCAATAATTTCTTGAACGCTCTCTTCGAACTTTTCCCATATGAGTGGCGACATAAAATCTCTTTTTGTTTAGCTTGTGTAGTGTTCTTTCCTTCAATACTTTAAGAAATAAATGAGTAAGCTCAACTTATATTGTCATGTCAGTTGTAAGCTTCTGATTTCCATCAATAACTTGGACATCATCTTCATCTATCAACTCTGAAGACACTTCTTGTATAAAATCTTGGGCTACTATATAATCATGGAAACTTTTGTATCCTTTGGTAGTACTTGAGCTTCTTCTGCTCTGCAAACACTTGATTTGGTTGATGATTGCGAACTGCTTGTATTGGTTTTGGTTTCCGCAGAATCTTCTAGGGGCATAGAGGAATTATTCTGGGAAATTGAGGGCTCGTCCTGATCTTGGCTTGAATGTGTTGATTCACGCAAAAGTTTTTTCTCTCTATTGCATTGTCTTATCATATCACTAACCTCTTTCTTACTTACCGAAATCAGGAATTCATCGGTCTGTCTATCCTCCAATAATTTAGACCCTGCATGAGTGGGTTGAGCTACATCGGAGCTATTCTCAGAATTACCCTCAATAGGCGGTGAAATGGATGATTGGGAAGTCACCTGTAATTCTGAACGAGTGGAAGATTTCACCACGGATGTCCCGTCTTGCACCGAAACATTGATAGCAATTTGCTCCTGCTTGATTTTTCCGACATCACAATTTAGTTCTGCAATGAGCTCAGCCTTTTCTTTATCGCTCTGCTCTAGTTTTACGAATCTGGCTTCATTCTCTTCCATAGCCTGCCTTAATTTAGCATTTTCGGCCTTAATCTCGGCATTCTCAGCCAGAAGCTCGACGACGCGTTGTTTCAATGAATCAAGTTCGGATTGCATATTCGATAATACCTTTCATATAGAACGCTATTTATTTAAAATGCATTTTATCCAAGTGGACTTAGATCTCACTTTTTTTATTCACAATACGTCTCCATATCCCACGAAAAATATATTTGATACAATGTATAGCAATTTTCGGCTTGAATTCTTTATTGATGCAGTAAATAAATTGCATGATTGACTTGTTTTACAAAGTGAAATGGCGTTTCTATACTAATGCGTACAGACCCAGACCATCATCTAAACTATCTATACTAACATAATATCCCAACATTAACTCTAATCCGATTTTCATTTGTCCCAACGTCGATATTCTGGATAGAACAAAATGGTCGTCAGTTATGCAGAGTCAGAAATAAATTAACAGTATTGACCTTAGTAGAACTCAAAGTTTATGTTCTCCGCCTAATAAGGTCCTTGAAATTTCTGAGCAAAAAAATAGATATTAGCTTTACGAGATATGAATCACTCCCTTGCAAATGCACAGTCACAGCCGAAAAAAATATATTTCATTCATACCTTAATTGCGAAATGTCTCGTCCGTACTTCAATAATTTTTTCGTCAAAAATTCTTTCAAACTGCGATTAGTGTGATAGGCCGGTTTCTTTTTAACGAGTTCATAACGTTCATGCTCAGAAATAGTACGACGGCCGGAGTAAGAAAAAAGTGAAAGTCTTTACATCATAGAGCTTTATTAATTTATTTTCAATTAGTCAAATACGGTCAATCGTACGACCGGAAAAATTTTCCATTGGCAAACTAGAAATCGAAACCACTTATTTGTACGACATAAAAATTAGTTCAACTTTTTTTTAATAAATACCCTGAGAATTCGTCGGAGAATCAAAAATCTAATGAGTAATGATAAAAACCGTATTAATCATTTTTTCATATACTGATAAATTACTTTTTTTACTATGCTTAGAAGTATCTATATTATTACGTCACTACAAGCCACCAAAAGTTTATGCAAGAGTCTATGTCACGATGTATTCAGAAAAGTATATATATACCCATTATATACCCTCTAGTTTTCTCAAACCTCTTTCTTTCTCTAAATATTATTTTATCATTACAGAAACATAATCGAAATGGTTGGATCGTATAATTGTTTGCGCCTAGATAATAAATACGTTTTCCAGGTTGAAGTTTACGAAAAAGAGAATGATAATACGAAATTCTTCGAAATTGGTGATAAAAAATATCTATTTGAGACTGTAAGAGTTGGACAACTCACGAAACTTATCTCTCATGAAGGAAAGTTTAAAGATTCTGATATACTGAATATTTGGAAGATTAACGCCAAAAAATATGATCTTAATCCCGTTTCTAATGAAGACGGTATTGAAAAACTTGGAGGCGAGCTTATGGAACCTGAGCAAAGCTTTGTAAATTATTTTCCAGATGTACCTAATGCTAAGAATGTTAACATCCACATTGTTGCTGTCATCACAAACACAACTGCTGGTAAGTGTCTCCCAACGTTTTACCTCTCGAACAAGAAATTTGCAGTAACAAAATATCGAGTTTGGTCTGATCTCCTTTTTTCGCGTTAAAGCAGGTCCCTCTCATCAAGGCGTTACACAAGGTACGGATCTTAAATTATTTCGAGTATCTATTGGCTTGGAACGATGTCAAAGAAATTTATAACAAATCTCTTACTTATTATTGGTTTTAGGACCTAACTGGAACGATCCTTCTTCTATCTATGAGTGGATTAAACAGTTATTCACATTGAACCGTGGCCGAAACCGAGTAAGTCTTCTAGTTTTGTCATCTTTTCAGTAATATGTCTTAAGTTTCTCTGACTAAATCGGATTGACCTTTTCAGCTCGTTAAGACTTATGGCGCAGACTTTGTACTTCTTAAGAGAGATGACACTATTGAAGTTCTATGGAATGGCTTTACAACTTTGAGTGGAATCGCAACCCGATTTAAAAATCGTGATAGAAATGACAAAGGCCTTCATCCAATTCCTGTCTTAGCGGGTGGACCTGGAATTGGAAAGAGCAGATTTCTAGACGAAGTTGAAGAATTAATCAAGAAAAAAGCTGAGGAATCTCACAATAATGCTTTCACAAACATGATTGTCATCAATACAACCTACGGGAATTCAACCGTCGCTGATGATATTGATGAAAAGATTCAAGCACAGGCATCTCTCGCAATACGTATTCTATTTGAGTACTTTCGACCAAAACACCAAGATTATCCCCAGAGTTATAATTTTGTCAGCTTCCGCTCATACTGTAGACAACATCACAATAATTCTTCAGACGTTTCAGATTTTACCCTGGACACTGCTCTTCAAATTATCTACAAAGACTTTGTGCAAATTAATCCAACAACACCTAATCCTCTACTGGTCCTGGTCCTTGGCATCGACGAGTTCAATAAATTGCATATTCAAAACAAAGATGTCTGTGGGAAGCTTATACACGCCATTGGAGGGACAATGTGTGGACCGCCTTCAAACATATTTTTCATCCCTATTCTATCTGGAACGATTGAAGGACCCTTAAATGATTATATTTCAGGTTCTATGCATCAACCACTTCTCCTTCCATTATACCTCCTTGAAGATGACGACGCGATCGCGATTGGCAAAGCCATGAAACTATTTGATGATCAATATGTCAAGTGCCATCCTTATTTTCGAATGAGTATTGGCGACATTGGAGGGCATGCGAAAACTTTAGAGTTTTTTTACCAAATTTTCAAGGAACAGTTGAACCAAAAAGATGGACATATTAATAAAATTAAGACGGTGAATGTCATGGATGATGTCAAATCCGCTGTTAAAAGAAAGTATCATCTAGATTCACTCTCAGAGTGGATGACAGAACCTCTTGCAAAAGCCATATTGGGCTTGCCAGTTAATAAAAAAGATACAATCAAGGTCGGTGATGAATTTAAGAGCTATCAGGATCTTAGTTCAATGGGGATTTTGAATCTGATTCCGGTAAAAAAAGGAAAATGCTACAATGTTAGATTACCTTACATTTGGGTATTTATACTTGTTCAATCTTCTGAACACTCTGGAATGGATTATTGGAAGTCCATGATTGACTACGATGAACCAATGCATTGGCAGAACTTTGAAATGTTCAATGCCAAATTCTGGGCTTTACGTCTCAGTCTCTTCCGTCTGTTAGGATATAAGAAAATCAATTTAGGAGAACTTCTTAAGGGTGCAAAATTTTCTCGCGGATTTCCAAATGTTGAAGTTTCCCTTCCTAAAGACCTCAAAATTTGTAAATTACGACATCAATATCCAGGTATTATATTATACAGATATTCTTGTAATACATTAACCATATCACCACTGATATAATAAAACAACGATAGATAACGAATTTGACACGGAAGATAACAAAATGGATAACGACGACAACACGAAAGATGACGAAATGGATAATGACGAAGATGACGAAATGGAAAACGACGATGACGACGATGACGAAATGGAAGACGACGACAACACGGAAGATGACGAAATGGATGACGACGACATGGAAAGAGTGAATGACAATTATACAAAAATGGATTGTCCTTATTTGGATATCAGCAAAAATATAAGCTATACCTTCCTCAATGCCGATGGGGCAGTTTGGGATGTTTTCGTGTTTCTTAGAATAACGAAAGATAAGTTCTTATGTATTGCCCAACAAGTGAAAATAACAAGTGTTGATGCGAATAAACCAATGACCATTAACCAGGCTTTATTCAATAATGAGTATACAAAGGTAACAACATTGCTTCATCTATATCGGGTATACATTTGCACCATTTAATTGTTGGCTAATTGATTTCTGTATAAGGTTACCAAAGCCATGAAATGTGTTCCAGCGGAAGAATGGGTTCTATTATTTCTAACGAATGCGGATACGCGAAATCTGTCTATAAAGATGAATAAAAACAGTGCGCTAGTGTCTAGGAATGAATTTCTAGAGTTCTATGGTTATACATATGCTAGTAGAGCGCAATTTGCGTCCGTTAAATTTATTAATTTTGATTTCTCCTACTTTTTTGAATCATCTGATATGTATTCTCTGTTATTTTTGTATAGCAAACGAAAAAATATATATCAATTCGACAGACGAAGATTCGCTTAGAATCTTAGGCTTCAGTAAGAAAGAGAGGCGTAGGATATGTGAGAAACGCCAAGAAACCTATCTTACCAATTATGATGATATTAAGACTAGGATTCGCATTAGTGATAAGAAATTTCGAAAGTTGAAGCGTGATGGTAGGATTATTTTTTAACTTTGAGTCAATGACTTATATTCAATAGCAATATTATACTGTAACTACGCATGCAAAATGCTAGTCCATGTAAAATGTAAATTCAAACTATTACGTATAATATGTATAAAATTGTATTAATCATGATTTTTTATTAATAAAATTGGAGCTGACTCTAGCTAAACTAATTTAGTAAAAATAATTGAGTAGCGGACGTTTAAAGGGAGGAAACATCTCGAGCTGTAAACCATAAAATGAGAGTTCTTTCCAGCTACTCCATACTATTATTTAATGCTAACTTTTTCACTATCTATATGCCTATCTATGTACCAATTTTCCTCCGAATTTATCCATTTCATCTATTGCAAGCAAAAATATCAATGAGTTAAAAGAATAACAATAAATAATAGATCAATTAACCTTACCTTTATGTTTCTTATTCATGCAACTCCAATTCGCCTCTGTATCGAAATCTTTTATTAGGATCCACGAGAAGGTAAGTTTTTCGATTCTTGTATCGAAACTTCAAGAATCAAGCACACGATTGATGATGCAAGTTTAATTATTCCGTTTGATTTTTTCATTTTACTCGCATAAGGCGGATATAAAAAGGATTCACCAATCAGGACCTCACTTTTTATATAATTTGTAGGGATTAAAATCCGATCCCAACTTAGAATAGAAAAATTTGACGCTATTCCTTATAATATAACGATAAAGATAATATATGCAGGAAAGTTCGAGAATAAATTACATGCAATCATTTATTCCTATGATACATGATGTCGTCTATACACATTTATCGAATCAATATTAGCATACAACTTATATTTGATATTCTAGGGGTGACCGTACCCCAAATAAGGAAAGTATTTTACATAATTCAGTAGATAAATTTTTATACGTTTTACAAAACTTTTTCAAGAAGCTTGTGTAGCCTATTCATCATATGAAAAGTGCACAGATGCTAAGCATTCCTTAAGCTTTTGACGCTGTAGATTAACAATTTCAAGTGAATCCATTTGAATCCAACGACCTTCAATATGTCT